TGGCATTCCCGCCCCCCAGCTTTCCTCACACGACAGTATGTGAAGCAGCATGGCAAAACACGACTTGATTAACATGGAACATATTCCTGCGGTTAAACGAAAAAGTTGAAATGTGAAGCTTGTCCCTGAACTGTATGTGTTCAGATAGACAGGATACAGTGCAGCCTTTCAGATGGCTGCGCTGGCACAGGCCAAGCAGGGGTGTGGTGCAAGCCTAACAGCAACAGGAGGGCAAGGAGGAGGAGGAAATTTAAAACACCAGAGCTGTTTAATTCTAATGTGCTGAGACTGCAGCCTGATTTATGCATTGTGCAAAGCTTTTCCTTAATGAAAATTGACACCTATTTATATGTAGTATGTTTATAATAATTCATGGTCTATATTAAAAGTACTGACAGGTAAAATTGCTGGAAGCTTCTAAGAAAAGAAGGAAAAATTCAAAATGCTTTGAGATATAGACATTTGGGAGCAAATGCAAGTATATCTGCACTCGCTCATGAGTATCAAAAAGAACACTTCTACAAGAACATATTAATAGAAAGAGATTTCAAGTGAAAAACCATAAGGGTATGCAAACACTTTGGTTTGGAAATGATTGAAAATGTAAACAAGCAATAGGCTTTTAGGCACAGAAAGGTAGAATGGGCCAACTAGCCAGCAGTCTACCATTATGATCCCAGAAGGGGATGTAGGGGGAATTTGAAAAAGGGAAAGCAATTACATAAATCTAGTTAGAGCTCAATCACCTTGCAATAAACAGAAAAACATAAAGGGGAAGTCACCACAGGCATTTAGAAAAAAATGGATTGGGTAATGGTGTGACAGGCTTCTAATGTTCTTGCTCTGCAATAAAGGGACCATATTACATAGCCAATACCCCAAAGAATTCTGAAACATTTTCTAGTCAAAAAACTCATTCCTACTTCTCTGTCCATAAGTCTCTCTCCTTTAGTTTTCTACTCCCAGAAAAAGCATCAGGATCAGCTTCACTTCAGCTCAACAAACAAACATTTAGACCAACAGCTAATTAAGAAGGTATATTTATTATAATGCTATTTTATAACAAATCCAACTTATAAATTCAAGTAGAGTGCCATAATCAGTTTGAACTATAAATGCAATTTTCCCTCTAGGTCATCTGATGCAGAGTCTTGATGTATCTTTCAGTGGGAGAAAGACCCATTCCTTTTCCATTAAAGAGCTATTACACTCTAACAAAATTTTCTTTTACCCATTTAACAAAGCCATTACATTCCTGTGAACATAAGTTCATCTGCATGCACAAAGTCTTTCTCGCACACACAATTACTCTAAGTCAAAGCCCGAGCTTACATTCCCTCAACTCTGATGATGACTTAGTCTGTGACCTGAGGCAAATCACTGAATATTTGTTCCTAAAAAAATGTTTGTCATAACAGAGCATTTGGAAGCTCCATCAGACACGCAGGTTGCTTTAAAAGACAAAATGATTGCTGCAGGCTTGTTCTTGATAGGAAATCTTCTGCCGGTATCTGTAGAAACTGTGACAGGCCTCTAAGATGCCTGCTGAAAACTATTCCTGAACCACCCAGTGTGGGATCTAACTGAATACATCTAATTGATTGCAATGGATTTGTAGAGGCCACTATGTAGAAGCTTCTATTTGCAAGTAATGCAAGTCCAAACACAGCCTGAAGGAGAGCCTACATAAAGATTATAAATCTCAGCCTTATACTCACACTTTGTTTCTGCTATAAATTGACATTTCTTCTCTTAAATAAGCAATGTGATTCCATCTCACCGTCCAAATTTAATCTCGTCCCTTAGAAGAAAACTTAAGTCCATTTAATTGCAAATGATCACAAATAAACACAGTAAATGAATCTTTCAGTAATCTCAGACTGAGTGAGTAAGCGACTGAGCGGTTCAAAAGGGTGCTGCCAAGTCTTGCATCAAACAGCCTGCCTTTGTTTTCTTATGGATCAAATAAATAGCTTTGCAAGAAAATATCTGCTTGAGAAGAAAATACTGTGTTGCTTCTAAGATTCAAAACACATTCCTGTTTTGAACTAATTTTTCAATTCAAGGAAATGGAATTCTATTAACATTAGATTATATATGTTTAATATCTTACAAAAACTATTACAATGCCATAGACAAGGTAAAAACCTTACAAGTTAATACTCCAAATTAGAGATGAATACTGCTGAGAGGAGGAACTAATTCACATCAGAATTAAGTGGATAATCCTCCACTCTAACAGCTATTTTCTATGTCTTGTTACTGCTTACCAGCAACCAATGCTTTAGATTCAGTTCCCACTAGTTGGGATGCATATGCTCATGCAATAAAATTAAAAAAAAAAAGTCTCCACTGCATCAGGATCAGATTCCTAGCCCTATACAGTGAAAACTCTGCTAGTTCAACTGAAAACAAACCATTTCAAGATTTCAGAAGACACAGTAAGTGATTTTTCCTATATAATGAAAAGACATCCTGAGTAAGTAGCCTTTGCTTCTCAAGAAGAATCTCAGCCAGGAGATTAAATCTTATCTCACATTGTTGAAGATGCAGCTGCCAAAAAAGCGAACGGAGAATAAGGCTTTGCCTCTGCACATAGGCACAGAGATATCGGCTTATGCAGTCTTGTAATCGCATGATGCTCCAGCTGGTATGCCTGAGTTTGGCCAACAGTGGCTTCATTTCCTCTGGAATGAAAGTACTATAAGGACCTTGTTCAGCTTAACATGCTTAAGGTAAACAAGTAGCTCAAATGATCCTTGCTCTCGCTGCTATTTCTATAGTTGAATGCTATCTTACCTCATTCTGAAAATATCTTTTCTTAAACGCTTATTGCATAAAGTTTCTCAATGAAGGAATTGCTTTCCTGTACCTAAGTACTGCAAAGGGAACAGGCTGCTTGAATTTTGCTAGGAAACTCGGAATGTGGAAACAAACAAAAAAAATCTACTCCATCAAATGAAAGAATGCAATGCACATCATCCTACTTGCCAGACAGCCTAGACACCAGGCTAGTTTGGGCACACTTGATGTCTGCTTCCCCTCCCCTACATGGTAATGTATAACACACAGCAGAATACAAGGTGAGGTTTGTTGTTTTTTAAACAAAGAAAATAGTGATGAAAAATGAAGCAAACAGAGCAACCCGAGAGCATCATCTTTAAAATGGAAACATTATTTTTTGCACTAATAAAGTACTTGCAACATAGTTTCTGTTGAATAACTACTGCCTTATTGATTCATAGCAGGCTCTGCCTCTGAAAGCAGCACAGAAAATCTAGAGGTAATTATTTGGTACTGCAGAGACAGGTGTGAAATCTCCTTCTGACCTACTTAAAGGAGATCAAATGGCACCAGTAAGGGTGAGTGCTAGGGATGCAAGTGAATGACACAGCTGCTGACAGTGCAGCAGGACATTCTAAGCAGTCATCTGTATTTTGTCAGGAAACAGTTATGGCCGCAGGTACATACCTGTGAAGTGAAGGAAGAAGCAGGTGACTGAGGATAGGAGCTTGCTTATAAAGCTTAGCAACAGAGGAAATAGTACAATGATTCTCAGAAGCTCTAATATTGTACTATACAGTTACACTCATCCTGGTATTATCTAGGATATGCTGAGAACTGTAAAAAGAGTTGGTAATAACCTGCTGAAATATCTGCTCAGAAATTTGTTTTGATAGAGCCAGGAACACAGATCCAAGTTAGGATAAAGTTAGATGAGGCAGCATACATTATGCTACCTTGCACATTACAATCTGTTACAGATAAAAGTATTTTATGTAGGTCAGGCACTGCTTCACTGGAGACAGGGAAAAAAGCCATAAGGAAATCAGAGCTGGGCCTTATTCCAATGATCCAGTCTACTCCAAAGTTTCAAATGTGAAAAGATTTGTGTCTCCCTGATCTTGTCTATCTAAGCACTCTTCAAGAACAACTTCTGCAAGACTAAGTATAGCAGAATAGACAACATATTTCTCACGATGCAGAACCAGATATAACTCCTTACTCTCACATGGAGACTAGTTTTGTCAGTTGAAAAAAGAAAAGTAAAATCAAAGTGACACTAATTTTCAACTCATTGCAACACTGAGCTGTGAAATCAGGTTTCAGGAATAGAATAAGGCTCTCTGGCTCTCACAGCCAAGAGAACGGTGTTATTAAAAGAAGCAGTATTGCATTTCTCTCTCCCTCTCCTTACAACTGTACTCTAATGTAACAGAATGTACCTGCACTTTTTGCAATATCATTTTATCTCTGACAGGTGGTAGGAACAGAATTGCAGAAACCCAAAAGTAAAAATGAGGGGTTTTTTTTGTTTGTTTTTCTCATAGACTTATCAGAAAATTATTGATTTTTAAAGACAGTTTCTTTTTTTTTTTTTTCACTAATACATAATTAAGTGTTTTTATTCTGGTAACCAAAATGCACAAAATACAATGGCCCACTAACATTTCAATAGAAGGATTTAGAATATAGTTTTTATAACACACATCATTCCATTTTTCATTACCACCTATCAAGCTAGGAAATTCTTTTGTATCAAAAAAACCTGAAAGATTCTCAAATGGAACAGCACTGTATTTTTGGATGGCATTTAGTTGTGAAGAGAGATAAAAGAGGTACACAAATCACAGGAAATACTACATGCAGTACACAAATGGAAGAAGAAAATGCGCACTTGTGCAACTTCAGTATTTGAGGAATACCTTCAATTCCCCTACAGAGGGAATGTGACATAAATGCCTGCATATTTCAGTTATCATCTGTGCAGAATTTAGCATTGTTGGCTGTATGAAAGAATACCCATTTCTGTATTCTATCCTTTACCATATAAACTCTTTTAAAAAAATATGCAAACTTTTGCTCTTTTGAGTTATACTTCATTTTTACACGCATTCATCCCTACACTGGCGACTCCACATTTTTTTCCCTGCCCCGTAATGAAGATCTGGTTGTATTTTAAATGAAAGCTACCAGTGTTAGGTGGATACAATTCTTACCCTGATTCCAAGTTCCACATTCTCTCCTCCATATACTTCCATGCCTTCATCTAGTAAGCCAATCTCTTGGAAATATTCTCGGTCTACTATGAAGCACCCAATTAATGCAGGACTTCTGGAAGAAAAAAAGCAGGAGAAAATAAAATTAACAGAATAGAATACACATTTTCATTATTCAGAAATTGATTAAATTTATCACTGCTGGGTTCAGGAGCATGTCAGATTCTTAGGGAGGTTTTTCTCAAAGAAATTACAGCTTTGTCTTCCAGTGTCTTTGACTCCACAGTGAAATAAGCACTACCGAAGGAAAACAGATTCAAAATGACTGGACAAACACATTCACCAGAACACATAGGATTTACGTTCTCACAGTATTAGATCCAAGAGATCCAGCATTTTTTATGGGGCATCAGACATTGTAACCAAAATGTGGAACAGTTTGCCTCCACTAAGTTCTCAAGTTTCTTGTCTGTGATAATCAACAAAGCTACCCAATGATGCATGGTTTTGTGCGTTTGGCCAGAAATGCAGTTCATCTGCATTTAAGAAAACATTTATCTTTAAGCATATTTTAAAGAAGAGGTAATTGCTTGAATAGGAACTTCCAGGTCAGCTTCAATCCTGAATCAAGAAATGCCTAACTTACCAGTATTCCATAACACCAGCCTATTGTGCTGAACCAAATCTAAACAAGTCACGTATCTTTACCAAACCTGTAAGCTCATTTAGGTCACGACCTGAATTAGCCAACTTCTACTAAGCAGAGCTAATATCAAGAAGGTAAGAGTTCAACTGCCGAGTTTAATTTCACCTGTAGGAAATGCAGAGGAAGAAAATGCCAGGTAGTGTGGACTTCTCACTTGTTTGCCTACCTTATAATGCATATTGACATGAAATAAAATGTATTTTCTGACTATTATGCAGCTATTTGAAACTCTGAGAACAACAGGATATTAATTAGCAGTACACCCTGCCACTTACTAGGAACACTCAAATTGCACTCATCTGCTTTCAAACACTTTACAGGATGTCTTAATCACAATCTGTACAATTCTACAGAAATTTATGCGTTTCTGCCTTTGATTTGAAGTGCTATAGTACATGCTTCCATGCTTAACAGCAATCAGAACTTGTCCTGATCTATCTGAACTATCAGAAAGATTCTTTCTGATATATTTACAAATGAGGAAATTAACTTGTTCTTGTTTTTAAAGTATTTTTCAGAATACTTGCTTTTTTTTTTTTTTTTTAAATAATTCTAGAGGCACATCTGAAGACATGATAGATACCATGAATACATGTAGATTTAAAAAAATAATAATAATAATTTTCCAGCACATGCACATACTGTATCTCACTGGAAAAAAAAAAAAAAAAAAAAAAAAAAAAGGCTCCAGGGAAAGAAAGAGCTAGGAAAAAAAGAAAAAAAAAAAAACAACCAAACTAAACTAAACATCCAGTATTCTTAAAGGACTTTTACTCCAAAATACAAAGTACAGAACTTTGAGATAAAATGGAACCGAAGATTTGCTTTTCATCGAGCATAACCACCTTTCCCTAAAGAATCATCATAGTTAATACACGTTTGCCTCTCCAGGAATTAGTGAAAAATTTCAAAGTATTTTCATATTACTATCACAGTTCATTAAAACATGAAACACTTCTAATGATGCGGAAATTACCACCTCTTTATGTCTGTGGCAAACCTGTGAATGTTTGGCTACTACTTTTCAATTCCAAGTCCTGTTCAAATGACCGTCAGCTGGGTCAAAGCAGTTCAGTGTGTCTAAGCCAACAACTCCCAGAAAGAGATGTTTGTTTGAAAAGACAGAACTGCTGGATGAAAGATACCCCTTGTACAGACTGTGTGGAATAAGTTGCTACTGATGAATCCCTCATGCAGCCACTGCCATTTAAGGTTCTGCTTTGCAGCTGGTGAAATCAGTCTTCATCCTTTCATTCTGCAGAGAGCTACAGTACAGGTACTAATGACCTCCTTGATATGAATGCCTAGACAACAGAGATGCAGAGATGATTCAGAGGTGTCTATCCTCCTTCCAGAGATAAAAGTATTGTTCTCTGTTGGCCTGAATCCAGAAATGAAAAGCAAATACAGAGGTGGGGTGTATCAAAGTAAGGATTTAATAAGTCATTGATAACACGTTGTCGGTCAATGAGAATTAACTCCTATGATGTAACAAAGCTATAAAGCTATGTGGTAGTACTATGAAGAATACAGCTGTTAGAAAGACTCTGTTACATAATGCATTTGCAAAGAAAATGTCATTACTGGCCCATTACCACTAAATTAGTAGACAACATTTGGAGACTGAAGGGCTGCTGAGCATTCAAGTCTACTCTTTCACTTTGGCTAAGTATTTAGCCCCATGCTAATAACAATGAAACCTATTTTAAAAGATCTCCTGATAAAAGTTTTTTTAATGAATGTGTAGGGAGACAAGGAGAAATGCAAAAGAGGACAGCTCAAGGACATCATCTAATTTAATATTACAGTCAGTAAACTTATTACATAGCTGAGACCACTCACCATCTGTCACATCTAGATGAGCATTTCCTGTGGTACACTAATCTGGGTCACAGTTGCACATTACCTTATTGGAGCAGTTGTGTTCTCCAGTTTCCACCATGACTTAGGGGGGTTCAGGTAACGACACCATAGCTCCCAGTCAAACCCTTGTGCTGAGAGGGGATATTCTTCTATTTCAAAATTATCATACTTAATGTTATCAAATGATGGAGAAATGACCCTTTTTCTGTTTTCCTTTATCCTAGAGAGCACTGGTTCAGCCCTAAAAAAGGAAAGAAAAGAAAAAGAAAAAGATGACTATGTCAGTAGAAGGATAGCACTGATGGACATACCAATGTACACTGTGCATTTCAGAAAACCATTCAGAGCTCTCTTTGCTCTGAAATGGAGATGGGGCAGAGTAAGATCTGCCCCAAAATAACACACTGCACAGTTTTATCTAGGATGCCCTGTTATTATCATTAACGTTAGCTGGAGAACTGAAGAAATTACTATCTGCATACTACAGAGCATTTACATACTTGCTACCAAATAACAATAATTTCAGGCTTTCAGTATTATCAAGAGCATGAAGATCAGAGTTAATAATAGATTTATCCTATGGACAGCACTTCCTGCCTTTTTACAATCTTTTTAACTCAAGAAAAAAACAAAGATATTATGTCTGGATCAAACAAGCTCAAATATATTTTTTAGCTATGTGCTACTTTTGCACAGAGCAGCAATGTTGAGAAAAATGACATAACTTTGTTTACACTGTAGAACATAGAAGAAACATTATTTTTTATTAAAAGGAGGTCAATTTCCTTCAGTCCTTTGCCCATAAAGGGCATTACTGGAGGGAGCTGATTTCTGAAAAGCCAAGGCATAGAAAATAGAATTTTTTCTCAGTAGTTTTACAGGCCATTATTTGGATATTTGGAAGCTACACAAATGCTAAGCATTTTCTGTTTCCTGAGAACAATTTAAAATATTGCCCTGAGATATGAAGAGAACTCAAGAAACACAGAGGAGCAAAACCTGAGTCAGAAGTGTGCTGCTTCTAACTGCAGACATATCCCTCATATCTGTAACTAGCCCACCTTTCTCAGCTTCTTCATGCCAAAATTACCATTTACCGCTTATTTATAAGAAAAAATGCAGCAATACATAATACAGATATTTTAGATACAGGAAAAACGTGCATGCACTTAGCATGCAATTTTCACATAGAGTTAAATACATTGTAGTTACACCTCTAGATAGCACACTGAAAAAAATATATATATCTAGATTACATTACATAGCACAAATGTATTTTTCATGAATATGCCCACCTCTGAAACTTTTTATTAAAAGTATCAGAATGCAAGCTCACCCTTTATGTGCAAGAGAAATAGCATTTAGTAATTTATAAATAGTGCTTAGAAACGTGCCTTCTTTAAAGAAGGTACAAGCAGACACATACCATCCCACATTGAATTCCACATGGGCATCAAAGAGAGCAACTACTGGTGCTGTGGCTACTCTCCATCCACTGACTCGAGATCTAATCAGCCCCTCTTGTTTGTTGTGTCGGACAACCTTGATGAAACCAGGCTTACGGGCATTCACTTCATCAACATACTTCTTTAGTTTCTCTTTGAGTTCTTCTGCACAAAGAAAAGAATTGGATGTTAACAGGAAGCATCAGTTTGCCAACATGTGAAAATCTGTTCCTCCAGCAAAAAAAGATTCTTTGCACAGAGGAATACTGCATGTTGATTTAACTGCTATGAGCTTTCAAGTTGTCAAATCTAAAAAGAGACAAAACAACAACAAAAAAGCCACCAACAGAAGGACCGCAAATTATATAGAAATAAAAGAATTCCAAGTGTAATAATCCAGCCTAAATGATTGCCAGAATCCTGTAATTGTTGAACATTAACATAGATAAAGCCACTAGATAAAGTACTCAGTCACAGTGGACCACAACTACATAAGTGCATATTTTGTTACCATAGCAGCAAATAAGATAACTATCTCATATTCCCAGAAAAATACGCCAAACTTACTAATACTTCAAGAAGAGGAAGAATAAAATGAATTATTTATATTTTTTCCACTGCTATTTTGGAACTTCAGCAACAACTTTCTTCCTCTACTAAGATCTTCCACAACGTCTGATGCTTTTTTAGTAGCATACAGACCAGCAAATACAGAAGAGGTAATCTAATCCTAATTAAAATATGATAACCTTTTTTATCAGCAGTTATTGCATCTCTGGCCTAAAGACCACTGCAAGAGGAAATACAAAAGGTAGAACTCAAATATGCTGTTCAATATTATTAACTGAAAGCACTGTTTACTCCTACTGCTTATTAGCATTTCTATGTTCTATTTACTTTAGGAGAATTCCAAGAATTCCCTCAGCACTGTTAAATGCCCTTTCACCCCAACTTCTCCATAATCCATAAATGTCTGCTGTGAGGCCGAACAATGGTCCATGGTTATGATGTTAAACTGGATATCATCAGATCCGCATTCCAAACTAATGCAGTCTTGTCTTTTCTGTGAAATCTTGAGCAAGCCACAATTTCTTCATAAATTAATGAATAATCATAAATCACACAAGCCAGGTATGCTCATCTGCAGTCCTAGTCCTGATGGTTCACAAAGTGAGAGCACACATTACTTCCCAAGTGATCTTAGGAAGCAGGTTTCTCCCCAGAAACATTTGCTTCCCAGACAGCTCTGCTCCTCCCAGTCCTGCATATGTCATCTGCTAGTTACTGAGTTCTCTCTTTCTCTTTCAGTTCCTGGCCTATACACCTTACCAGACAAGCTGGTCAAGCATGGTCTAGTTGTCCTAGAGAGAGAAACTTTTTAACTCAGGCTTTCAAGGCCAAGCTATCCCTTGACTGTAGCTTGTGATGCTCTGACTAGCATAAAATAAATAAACTTTTCATTACATTATCCTCCTATTAGCCAGACTAAAAGGCTTATTGTTTTAATTGGCATTAGCTGCACAACCTGCTTTTGGCTGCAAGCAGGGAAGACTTATGCACTGAGTCCACCAACTTCTTACCAGCAAAAGCCAATTACACTGGGAACCAGTCACTTCAAGCAGATTTGGACAATATGCACACAAGAATAGTTAATGCAGCAGAAGAACAAACAAACAAACAAAGTCTTTTTTTCTCAAGCCATGTTAAACATTTGTTCTTTGAAAGGAGACAGATGTTTTCTCTCTCAGTCTGACAAAGAGGAACAGACAAGTTTCACAAGGGATCCTCTAACATAAAGCTTGTTGCAACCCATAGACCTCAGTGGGACTACTTCTGAGGGTTTGGAGGGGATGATGATCAAGCACAAGGATTCCTTGAATTTATCCCTCCTTGAAAGACTTGCAGACAACAACCTTGCATGATGCTTTTGCAGCTATTTGCACTGCCACTACAAGGCTGTGTGTGCCATGTACCTTTGCATAAAGGAACCATCTCGCAGCAAGTAAGAGAATACCACAGAGAAGTGCTGGTGTGTACAGTTTTTCATTAAAAATGAACAAGCAAACAAAAAAAATTAAAATGGAATAATCTGTCATACAAGTCCATGACAGTACTTAAACTACAGCTATGTTTTAGGGATGGATTCAATACAGTCCAAGAATTTTCTACTTCACATTGTTCATTTCTTCTATCTCATATGATTGTTTTACCTATGACTGCATCATCTTGCATAAACAAGGCTCAGAAATGTATGTTAATATGAAGTCCATAGTGCAGAGCATTTTCCTACTTCACACTAGATTTGCTAGGTATCAATCAATACACTGTTTTCCTTTATCAAGCCAAAAAAGCCATATTCACATCTCCATTGTGCTTGCAAAGTGTCATATTCTTATTCCTTACCTCCAACACACCGAGATCTGTAGCAAGCAAAAATCCAGCAAATCAACCAGCTAAAAGCTGTTTAAATTTGAAAGAATACATTTACACTATTGATACCGTGCCTATCTGAAAATAATCAGCAACAGTTCCACATTCCCAAAATGTAACATGGTGAAGGGTGAATACCAAAACATGAAGATCAAAGTTTTGTTCTCAGTGCAAGTGACTGCTCATAGTTTTACAATATCAGGAAGCTGTATTTGCCACAACAATGCAAGTGACTGCTGTCTATCCAATATATGAAAGGCAAGCAGGTTCTAATCAAAGACCTGAAAATCAGTGCTTCTGAAAGAGTCTCTGTTCTCTGTATCATGCCCGTTCTTGGCAAGTGGGCTATTCTTACTCCTGTCATATACATTTCCTAATGTGGATTGACTTTATAAGCTTGACTAAACACGAAATGTTTTCCATAGCTAGGTGTAAGTATGGAAATAAACGGAAATAGAACAGAACTCAGTCCTTGGCTTGCCACCAGCATGACTTCAGCTGCACGTTATAGCTGTGACATTTACTAGGCAGTACTTGCTCTTAATATGCACTACAGCTCTCTGCGAATTAAGAGAATAGCTGGAGATCGTCTCAGGGGAACATTATGGGCTCACCCACGGGGGAATCCTTCTCTGGACTTCATTATCAACCCCAGGAGGCTGAGGAGAGTGTTGGATCTCAGCTAAGCTTCAGTACTAGTCCACAGGAGAGAAAGCAGTATTTTGCAGCCGGGCATTTTCCAGCTTTTGTCATTCAAAACAGCTTAGCCTTGCTTTGCAAAGGCACTCCGCTGAAGGGAGCACTATGCGCGCCCCTTGTCGAACAAAGCCTTTATCTATTGGGCAGACTATCCCAGAAAAAAAGACGTTCTACTTAAAAAAAAACTTATCATTACAAAAATGTATCATTTTGACTCGACCACAGGATGCAGCAGATATGCAAATGAAGCCTACCAAGTCAGTTATTACCTGCAGAACATTTGACAGGTGCTTCCTCCTCCTCCCCCTTCCCCCGTGCAGTCTGCATTTGCCTGAGCTTTAATTGAGAGATCTGAGTTCAATTGTCTTTGACAGTTTCAGAGCATTGTGCCCAACTGGAATGAATGATGGAACACTCCCTCTAGAACTGATCGTATAGTTTGTGATGGCACCAATAGTCTTCAGTTATATATTTTTAACCTATGTTCTGTTTCTTTCCACCTCAGATACGCCCCATGAATAATAAACAGTCTTTTTCATTAATTATTGTGCTTCACTGCTTTATGCCACCATAGGGAGAAGAAAGGGAATGAGCAAATGTGTCATCTTCAATACACTGTTGATTCAGTTTCTAATTACAAAAACAAACAGGCATATAAAGATAGATGCATTTCCCTTTCAGCACATAATTTTTCAAATAAAGACTCAGTTTGATGAAGCTGACTGGGTATCTACAACTGAAGAGAAAGAACAGCCATAGATGACATGAGAACACTGTGCAGATCTTGTAAGTCATACACCCAATGACCTGCCTCCATAACGTACAGATGCTCTTCTCACAAATGCAGAGGTCATAATTACATAACTAAGTTCTAATATTTACCAGAGGTTGGTTGTAGGTTTCTTAGAAACAATCAAAGATTTTGTTTGTCAAGTTTCTTTATTCAGCATTTCAGTACAGTGCTAATAAATTAATTCATTTTGCCTTGCCTTTTTAGGAAAGCAATTTCTTCAGAAAATGAAAGGAAAAGAGAATAGTGGATGAGATAAGTGTTAGCAGCGCGACTGTTCAAAACTGTCCAGTGCTGCAGCTAGTGTAGCTCGTGTGAATGACCAGTCTGGGCTCAGAGCGGCGACATGGATCACAGTCCTGCCTCCTCCTTGGATGTTGGGGGATTGCAGCAGAGTCCATAATATGGAAAAGTTTCATCACGTCTGCCTCGGGGAATTTCTCAGAAGAAAAGTCATCTACAGAACGTGCTTTTCATCCAGTTGCATGCAAGTGACCTAAGGTCTGTGTGCCTCCACTTTACCTCTTGGAGGAAGTCATCAGGCTAGATGCTCAAATGAAGCAAACTGTCCTGGCCCCATGGTACTCTAGCATCCTACAACAGCTGTGGACCTGCCCTAGACTTTAAGTTACTGATACAAAGTTGTGTTATTAATAATAAATTACTGCCTCACATTCATAGAGGTCAGTTAAGCCTCCTTTTCAGTGGCCTTCCTGCTGTAAAGTGCTCCCATTCTGAGTGCTTAAATGAGTCCTCGCAGCTCTCAGAACAATTACATTTGTAAAACCTGACAAAAATGCTTTCCTGAGACAGATGCATTTTTGGGACTTCAAAAAAAAAAAAAAAAAACAGTTGCTCTTTAGCTGTATGTTTGCCAAGAGAGCTAATCAAATAAATAACTAAAAACTCTCCCACATAACTACGCAGCAGTATATTTTCTAGCAGCTGAACCTCTGGTGTGGCAGAATGCTGCCATCTTGGCAAGCCTCAAGATTTTAACATGAGGTTAGAATTTATTTTTCTGTCAAACATCCAGGAATTTTCATGCCCTTTTTTAACCTTAGCTCTTGGCACATGGCTCCTTCTACTAGGCTCCTCTTCTGCAGTCGCAAGTGAGCAGATAAATCAGCAAAAAGGCACCAATCCCAAAAAGGACCTAATTTTAAACTAAGATTTTCCTTCTTCTTTATCTGATCAGTCGTTGCCCAAAATCTTAGCAGCAGAAAGAGCTGCTTTCCCACTCTTC